AAGAAAAAATCCTAAAAGGTAGGTTAATTAATATTGGAATTAATTATTATGTATATGGAATTAGTAGAACAATTTCTATATTATTTATTTATTTAATTAGGAAATGTATATATGAAAATAATTATTTTCATTAATTATTGTTGCCATAATTATTTTTAGTTAAAATTTGATTTTGGAAATGCACTAATTAAAGTGAAAAGACAAAGAATCCTATAAGGTAGGGTAATTAATAACTTCAGTGGCATAACATCGTAAATAATTAGAAAAACTCAGGGTATTTTATATGGGTACTTCTCTTTTAATAATATAGATAATATTTGACTTGTTCAAAGTTTACTACCATTTAGAATTTTTAGATGTAAATAGAACTTTTCAATGTGCTTTTTTTTAAAGCTTTATAGAACATTTCAATGTGTTTTTTTAATTTTTTTTTTTTGAAAGCTTGAACATTTCAATGTTCTAACTACATTCCACAAAGATTACAGAAAAAAAAAAAAGAGAGTTCCAATATCCTCAAATCTTCTTCACATCTCTCCACTTCTCCCGGAACAAAGCAAAGCTTTCCTCTCATTTTGGGCATCTTTTTGTTTTCTTCTTGTAAAAAAGAACGACCCATACTTGCATGCTCTTAACACTCTGAAATGCGACCATCACATCGCCTCTTCTCTCGTCTTCTTCTTTCTCCGGTGAAGGGTTACAGCAGAGCGACAAATGTAGGTGGATCGCTTCACTCATTGCTACAACTCAACGAGAAAAACGATGGGTTTGAAGAGACTCATCGGAGGAGTTTCAGCGCTCTTATCCGTTCCTGTCCGCAGTTAAGAGGGTTTCTATCTAGTCGAGGTCTAGGTGTACGATGCTCTGTTTCGCTCGATCCGTATACTTCTCTCCGGAGTATGTCTTTTTCTTCTTCCTTGGCGTAAAGTGTTTTTTTTTTTTTTCGTTTTTATTGGTTTACTGAGTGATTAGAGTTAGTGTTGGTATAACAGATTTGTTCACGCGGGCTAAACAAGTCAAACGAATTGAGATCAATGATCAACATAGGTACTGCTTTCTTGTAATGTTAGCGTGTAGTGGTCATGCTTTGTGAGTAGTATGTGGTCATTATTATATGCAAGTTTTGGATTAAGTATTCTTGTTTGGATCAACATAGATAATGTGACTAGTATCAAGTGTGGTCTTATGGTGCTGTTGTTTGGTGGCATGTCATGAGCTTAGAGAATTACGAGGAGAGCTTTCTAGCTAAATATATTTTATATGGTTCTATTCCTGAGTTTTATTTTCTTGAACATCCATCTTGCAGTCAAAGAGCTGTCACTACTGCACTGTGGTGCAATTTCCTTGTGTTTTCTCTCAAATTTGGGGTTTGGTGGACAAGTTCTAGCCATGTCATTATGGCTGAAGTTGTTCACTCCGTCGCTGATTTTGCTAACCAGGTTTAGCTTTCTTTTTTGCTTCTTTTTTTGTGTGTCCAGTTTAGTGTATTGATTACCTTTGAATGTTATAGGCACTTCTTGCTTATGGGCTCAGTAGCTCAAGGCGTGCACCAGATGCACTTCATCCGTGAGACTTCTTTGATCTTATATATACTCTTAATTATGTTAGTGGAATATAAGAGCTTTCTTTTGTTTGAAAAATGCTTAGACCAAAATAATGTTGTTTCTTGCCTCAGCTATGGCTACTCAAAGGAAAGGTTTGTATGGTCTTTGATATCTGCTGTTGGCATCTTTTGCCTGGGGTCTGGTGCTACCATAGTTAATGGAGTACAGAACTTGTGGACTTCTGAGGTAATTGGCTTGGACATTATCTGCTATTTGATCTATGGGTTATTAGATAATTTTTGTATGTTTCGTTGGTTGTCTATGCTTGATGTTCATCAATTTTGATAATATTTCTCAGCCACCTCCAAATATGGAATATGCTGCTGTGGTAATTGGTGGCTCTTTTTTAATTGAAGGTGATAGCTTTTTCTTAATCTTGCTATGCTTCAAGCTTACATTCTCAGGGTTAATAATCTTTTGNAACGACTCGGTACAGATTCTTCTTTTCATAACTCATAAAATCTTATGTTTAACGCATTTAAATAATAAACTTTTGATGTTTAGGTTGTAGATGCTCTATATGATTGCAAAAGTGAAGTGATTGGTCCTGGATCCTTCAGATTTAAAGCTGAAATAGGTGAGTTTCTTCAACTGTTCAAAGGATTGGATTGTTCCCTTGGCTTTGAAAATAAGAAGATAAAAGGCAAAGCCTTAGAGATGCAAGACAGTTTTCTTGAGTGATTCCATCGGGCCTTGTGTTAACTGCTATATGCAAACAGATTTCAATGGGCAGGTTGTTGTCCAAAACTATCTGAAGAGAACTAGGCGTGACGAGTGGTCAAAACTGGTAACTAAATTTGCAGCCTATTATCTCATATCCATCTTTCTTTAGCTGAAGATGAACAGTACCATCAGTTAAAATATGTGGTTAGTTACTTCAAAACTATCTGAAAAAGTGATGGTGTACTTGCTCAGTTTCGCGAGGCTGCAGAGAAAGGAGATGATTCTGCAATGCTCAATATTATGTCAAACTACGGTATGCATTGCACCAGTTCTCTTCTTGTGGATTTGTCATCGAGGTTGTATATTCCAAGCTGTGTAAGCATGTTGCAGGTGAGGAAGTTGTAACGGCTTTAGGAAGTGAAGTAATCCGGTTAGAGAAACAGATCCGAGAGCTTGTCCCTGGAATCCAGCACGTGGACATTGAAGCACACAATCCCAAAGACCAATCTCTATGATCTGAAAAAAAGAGTTGATGTTCTTCAAGGTCTGAGTTATGGATACCTCTCTTTTTGGCCTAAATAATGGAAACCACAGCCTGTCGCTCTTGGAGAAATAGAAAAGAGTTCATGGATTCTTCTCTATCTCGTTTCTGATATAAGTAGAAGACTTAAAAGTTTCATGACTTCGAAATGCTATGCAAAAAAAAAAAAAAAAAGAAAAGGGCTATGTTACGTGTAGAAAGACTGAGTTGTGATTCTGATCGATATTATATTTTTTACCTGTACACAATTATGGTTCTGGTACTTTGTGAACGCAACAAGAGAATGAATACCATTGTCTTCAAAGTTATAGAGAGGTTAATACAATGATTTACACAATGACATTAAAATGTAACGTTTTATAATCTTCTGGTGTCATAGAGTTGACTTTGAAAAAAAAAAAACTCTTAGTCTCTTTTGTTTTTAATGGCCATGGTTAATATATCTGCCAAGACATTTCTTCATTGAACTTTTCTTGGCAGAGCCAATAAATTATTGAAAGACTAGAAGCCCTCTGCTGAAGGTTGCCTCCAACTTAGTGTTATATATATATATAGTAAAGCAATTGATGCATGACTTAGTTGAAAAGTCTTGACCTTCTCAGAGGTTTCATTACAAGTAGGGTGAAACCTTTTTTCTTAGGAATGTTGTTTCGTATATATATCTGTTACGAGATAACTGTAAAAGACTGATTCTAATGAGAGTAAAGGTATATTCCCAAAAGATCAAACGTATTACAGAGTTTGAGAGGTTCTTAAATTCTTAATGGAGTCACTCTCTCTTCCCCTACACTCACTGAGTATTCTATAAAAAAACATTGATTAATTACAGTAACCACATTTTATAGCCATTTGATGCCATATCTATTGTGGAAACGCGTAAGTTGATATATACATTAGGAATTCTCAAAAACAGGATGTGGTGTTAAAAGGCGTTCTCTTCGACATCAGATCTTTGGCTCGCTCTTTTACTTCTATCTCTTTTATTCATGTTATGCGTTTAGCTAATGTTGAAGCTGACTTTATTGCTAAAGCAGCACTATCTGCAATCTCTGTTTCTGCATCTTTGTAGACTGTTTGAAGTTTTTTTATAAAGTATGGTTTGCTCAAAAAAAAAAAAAAAAAAAAAAAGTTGACATTGTGTTTGAGTTGACTTTGAAAAAGCTCTTTCGTCTCTTTTGCGTTTAGGTGGCCATGGTGCTTCTAAGAAAGAAAGAAACCAGTTTGCATTCTAGGCGATGACGGAAGTGACTGGCCTGAGGTGTCTCGTTTCTAAGTTCATTTGCTGTGTGTTTTGAATACACGAGGAGATCGATCAAACGTTTATGTATCCAGACTCCAGTAGTTCTTTAGTTTCTTTGTAACCATTTTTACCCAACTTTTCTGTGCAGACGATGATGATTCGATTGAATACGAGCCATATGTGTACATTCCAGCGAATAGTTACACCTATTCGGGGGTTAAGAAGATTACGAACAACTTCAATAGAGTTCATGGCAAAGAAGAGTTTGGTGTAGTTTATCATGGAGTTGTAAATAAAACAGCAAGTAGCCGTGAAAATGCTAAACCTAGCATCCATCTATAACGTTGAACAGTTTACCAAAGAGGTAAAAGTTTGTTCAGCTAGAAGAAGACCAAACATGAGCCAGGTTGTTATGGAGCTCAACGAGTGTCTGGCCTTAGAGATTGGCTCGTCCTCCTTGAAGAACTGGGGAGACAACACAAGAGACTCAGTGATCGACATGACCATGAGATATTCTCACCATTTCATCTCTTCGCTCATCCTAATTTTTATGTTCTTGCAAAATCTCATCTTCATATTTGTGTCTGGATCTCTTATTTTCTCTTGTCTTTGCTACTTTTCTCTCTGAATTTGCGTTTTCCAACTTTACAGTTATTAGTATTCAGCAATGTTTGACAACAACAACGAACAATGTCTGGTCGTATCCTCCATGTTCCTCCTTACACTCTACCATCGTTGCCAAATGACTAGAAGAGAAAGCTATGAGCCAATAGATTCAAACTGTAACTTACAAAAGTTTTTCTTTCCTAAACAAGACAACCCCAATGATATTACTTAAAACTAAAATTCGAATCGGTATAGAGCTAAACAACAGGAAACCCCCTCAGTAACTAGATGGCTTACACTTGGTGAGCTAGACACTTTCATGGATTCCCTTTGTAAATTACGCCAGATAATTTCAGCAAAAGCATGAATACGCCAAGTGGTTCTTCTTTGAGATGTAGGGAGAAATGTAATCAGTGGAAAGACCAGATGTTCTTGAGATCTCGGCTGGAACCAGGACTTGAGGCTTGCCTAATGCTATCCTTTTCCCAACTGTATTAGCGTAAAACAGACCAGGAATGGCTGGCACAAACACATCACTCCTTGAACTTATGTAGAAGTCAATAACATTTTCATACTCCGAATTTTCTAACTCAAGATACTTTGGTTTCTTGTCTGCTGGCATTATCGCCTCCTGCCATATACAATCAAGATCAGCAAAGGGTAAGAACTTCAGAGACTAGAAGAATGAATGATCTCGCATACACACCTTAGTAAACGTTTTTGGGAAGATGTCCTTAAGAATATTGAGGCTACTCTCCCATCTTGGTTGAGTTAGATATATAGTTGTATCACTGTCAAATCCAAGCTTCCGCAAGAACAATGCGATCTCTTGTGCGTTGTAACAAGTTTTGGATCCCACTGCACCTGTTTCATGGCAATTTTTCTTTTCAAGTATCTCAACTCTCAAGTCTATGGCTATGAAACGGCCACCGGATATCTTGCTATGTGTCTTTAACCGCTGAATCATCGACTCTACCAAGTCATTGACTCCTGGTTGCAACTCCAAGGAACCAAACATTGCCAAACAAGAAACAGGATCGGTCTCAGCATCCAGCGAAGTTTTCCTCAAGTTCACAGAAGGGAAGTAGGTTGTAACTCTAATGTTCCCTTTTGATTTGAAGATGGGATCAATATGTTCCTTGATGTAGTCTTCTGCAACTCGAGTGGGGACCTTGACAATGGCGATATCTCTTAGAGACACGTGGCTAGGCAGTTTTTTCACGACCTTGACTACGCTGTCCAGGCTTTTAACGAGTTTATCTACATCATAGATATCTTCAAAGTTCCTGGCCGAGCATTAAAACTTGTTCATAAGCCTCAGAGAAACATTTTGAAACCAAAACGTTTATTGAGGAAAAAACCACTAACATTTCATCACCAGGTTTGCTTCCTCTTATGTCGGGAAGCACAAGAGTTGCTCCAAGATGCTTCGCCACCATCACAGCATCAGTAATCTAAACACAACCAAAAAAAAAAAAAAAAAAGACATGAGAGGAAAGAAGAGAACATCTGTTTATAGTTTGACATGAAGATTACCTGGGAGATATGGTATTCAGGACCATTCGTTAAGGAAAATGTAACATAACCCTTAGAGGATACCGAGTCATCTACAACACCAAAAAACATTGAAACAAAACCAATTCAAAAACCGCAGAGAAGATTCAGAGAATAAAAAACGCAGGCATACCAGATTGAGAGATTGACCAACAAGGTTTAAGTACATGACTATCCTCCATCCAAGGTCCTCTAACAAGTCCATCTTCCACAGCTACTTTTGATCCGTGGAACTCAATATCTCCTTCAACTTTTTCCTATAAACACACAGTAACTCAAAGAGAAGCATTTAAAGTTTTAGCAATATAAAAGGCTAAGCTTGAAGCTTTCACTTCACAATCATTCTATCCAAAGTCTGAGTCTTTATGATCAACATTCGATACAAAATCCTAAGCTAGATCTGTGATCAGAATACGACATGAATCTAGCTCAGTCACTGTTGCGCATAAAGAACAGAGACACGTACCTGAACAGCATCAAAGTAGTCTCTGTGAAGCATTTGTCCGAGCATTACAAACATGGTAATGGTGAGGATTCCAGCCACAATTTGTCTCAAATCCACACCCATTTTCTTCTTCTTACACACTCTCTCTCTCTAAATTGGTTTTGAAGGGTTTCACGGAAATTGAGGAGAATTATGGGAATGGTTATAGAAAAGAACTAAAGGAGAAAGAAAAAGAGACAAGATTTCACGAATCTGTGAGTTTCTTTTGATGATTTTCTCAAAAAGATAACTTTATTTTATTATATTTTTTGGGTGTTACTGTCAGTGTGACTGATGCTCTAACGCAGCCACCGACAGTCTCGCCGTGAATTCTGGTGTTTAACTCAACTAGCTGATTTTTGTTAAACCGATTTTTTTTATGAGTTAATTGGCTGATACACCCTAAATGGGGTCTATATTAGTCGCTTGCCTATGATGGGACATATTTATTTTGTCTGACCAAATTGCTCTTCTTTTTTTCTCTCTCTTCTTCCTTCATTTACATATGGGTGTGTCACTTTTTTTTTTCATTTCTCTCCTCTTATCATTTTCAAAATGAATTATATGCAAAATAAATATGTTAAATATTTTTGAGTTCACTTTGATTCTTAAATAATAGTTAATACATAACACCTCTATTAAAAATATATAATTTTTAAATGTGTTGGTTGTTAACAAATATTGTAGACGTTAGAGAAGTACACATATTTGGTGTTGATATTAGAGAAGTACATACAATTAAATTTTAAATTTCATTATTTTTTTCATAAGTGGCTTTGAATCCTCCATTTTTTGATGATATCAATTTTCTGGGTTTTAGATTCGACGTCGTGTTAGCGGTTAACAAATATTGTAGACGTTAACAGAAGTGTTAGTTGTTAACAATTATTTTTACGCTTCGCGTTAGTAATATATTTTAGCTGTTAACAAATATTGTAGACGTTAACAAAAGTGTTAACTGTTAACAATTCTTTTTACGCTTCGCGGTAATAAATGTGTTGGCTGTTAACAAATATTGTAGGCGTTAACAGAAGTGTTATATGTTAACAAATGTTTTTACGCTTCGAGTTAATGAGAGGAAAGAGAAAGGGTATTCTCGGCATTTCCTTGCCAAATGGTTGTGTCAGTGTCCTTTATGTCCAATCAATGATATTTTGCTAATTTGAACTTCAAATATGGGTAGTTCACTAAATCACTCTTTTTTTATTTCACTTAAAATGGCTTTGTGCCTTATATGACCAAATATTAAGGGCGGCAAATAAACCCCTAACTTTTAGAATTATCTAAAAGGATTCATGCCGCCGTAAAGAGAACCAAAATCCAATTAAACCCAAATCAAATTCGATCGTACACCCTAGGCCTGCGACTTCGGTTTTCCGAAACCAAACCGTTGGTTTTTGGTTACCCGAAGTTTTTAAAAACAATTCCGAAATAAACCGAATGAAATCTCGGTTTGATTCAGTTCAGTTATCAGTTTATTTCGGTTTTCAATTTTATTTCCGAAAATAACTGAATTTTAAAATTTTCTGTTTGTTTTGGTATAATTTTTCCAAAATATTTGGATATTTCGGTTAAATTCAGTTATTTTTGGTTCGGTTTTTGGTTATTTTCGGATATTTTTGGTTTTTAATTTTTTTTTTGAAATTGAAGACCGAACCGAAAACCAAATTAATTTTTAAAATATACCGAATTGAACCAAGTTGAAAACTGAACCGAACTGAAAACCAAAAAAATGGTTCGTTTCGGTTCGGCCCATTTGGTTCGGACAAAAATCCCAGACCTAGTACACCCTAACGCCGAGACTTTCCAAAAATTGTAAACTTACAAAGCTCCTCTTACTTACCAAATGTTATTGATTAGGAATGGGCATTTCTATCAAGAATCTAAGAACCAAACCGGAATAATTTCGGTTTGGATATTATGAATTACATCCACGAATCTTATATCTCTAGAATATTAGAATCAAATAGACAAAACCAAACCGAAAACCAAAAGGGTAGCTAAATTTCTATAATATTTTATATACTTTTAAATATTAGTTATATTTAGTTTAAAATAATAAATATTGAAAAAACAAATCTAAATAACTTTGTCAGAAACATTACAACCTTTGAGATAAGAATGTGTCATCACTACAATAATTCTTCGAATTTTTAGAAAAATAAGTTAGCTCATCTAAATATATATTATATTTTTCATTAAACTAATCATAAAATTAATTACTAATGTACAAAAGATGAAAAAATGATTTTGACTAAAATAAAATGATTTAACGATTTCCTTAAATAAAAGCTATGAAATTACCCAATTTGACTAAAGTATATATGAAAATTAGTGATTTTGAAATAATAAAGATTTGATAACCATTTATGCATCCTTTATCATTTTTATTTTATATTCTTAAAATAAATTAAAAATCACATCAACTATATAATAAAAGAGAATTTTCCAAATATGACTAAAACTAGATTTTAAATGCAAAAGTGTACCTCAACTTCAATCAAATGCAAAAGTAACTCAAAAGGCTAGTGAAATTACAAACATCCCCTCATGGCCAAACAAAATACATTATTACAGTTTACCATTATAACTCTGCGAGTGAGAAGAGTTTCAAGGAAGTCTTATCTGAAGGTTTTCTCATGTTGTATATCTTAAAAATAATTTATAATTTTTATAAAAAATATTTTCATTAGGAAAAAATCCTAATCATGTAATGACAGATATTTTTAAATGATAAAAATTTAGATTTACTAAAACTTAATAGTTTTTAACATAGATAAATGAATGTAAGTTGAGTCATGATATTCTTGGTTTAAAGTTTGGTAACTATGTTATAGTATTGTATGTATTTTGGGTTAGATTGTGAAATCTTAACTTAAAAATAAAACTAAATTTGACATATATGTGTTAGTTTTGTGTATATAAGTTGATTTTAAATTTAATAAAGTATTTTTTGTGATTTAGTTATATATTTGATTTTGTATTTAGAAGATTTTTTTTTTAAGATATATACACTAGAAGACTTACTGGAATACTTACCATTAGAGTCTACCATTTCCTTCGTAAAATTTAAAAAGAATTTAGGTTTCCCACATATTGCTAAGTTTTCCAATAAGTATTCCATAAGTCTTCTAGAGGAAGTCTTCTAGTGTATGAGATCTTATAAATAATATATAAATTTCATAAAAATGTTTTGATAGGAGAAAAATCCTAATCATCTAATTATAGATATTTGTAACTGATATAAATTTAGATTTAATAAAATTGAATTGTTTTCAACATAAATGAGTGAATGTAGATTGAGTGATGATATTATTTGGTTGAGGGTTTGGTAACATATGTTATAGTATTGTTTGTATTCTTTAGGGTTAGATTTTGGAAACTTAACATTTTTAAAAAAATATTTAAATTTGACATATATGTGAAGTTTTGTGTATATTAATCACTTTATAAGTTGATTTTAGGTTTAATGAAGTTTATTTTTGAGATATAGTTAGTTACTTGATTGTAGGTTTAGATGATTTATTGGAAATTCTTCTAACAAATAATGCACTAGAAAACTCCAATGTAAGTCTTCTGAGCGAATACTTTTTGGAAGACTTTCATGTAAGTATTTTGTATCGAAAATATTTAACCTAATTGGAATTTTTATCTTTTATATAAAGAAAATTTAGACATTCTCTTTCTTCCTCTCAAATGGATGCAACAAAAATATAATATTTTTTACTCTAAAGTCTGCTGAAAGTCTTCTCAGAAGTTTTCCAAAGTTTGATATATTTTTCTCACTCTAATAGCGTCAATAAAAATGTAATGTTTATCACTCCAGAACTCTCCAATCTCTCTCTATTCTTTTTGAATTTAAAAACACCAAAGTATATATCAATTTCTTTTTTTTTTTGGTCTCTCTCACTAGTTTATCTTGTTGTTGATAGTTTTTCACTACAGGGTTACCGTCTTTAATTCCCTTACAGGAGATTCCAAAAATTTGTAGATTCAACATAGTGTGACTTGTTTATTTATTATTTAAATAATAAATTTTTATTTTTGATTTTTTATCTCTGTTTGGATACAATTTGAATGTTTTGTGAGATGCAGTTTTTTCAACGAGCCAGACTTTGGAAGGCTTCTCAGAAGATTTTTCAAAAGATTTCCCAAAGACTTCGAGGGAAGTTTTCTAATGTATTTTATGCATTGTAAGACTTCTCTGGAAGTCTTTCGAACCGTGACTATCTAACTTAAGTGAAGTCAAGCTTATATCTATATAGGAGTGATCTCAAGCTCAATATGTAATAATTTTTTAATGTTTTTTTTATGATTGGTATGTGTACTCTTTTAATTGTGAATTCTTTTGTAAACTTAAGAGATGTTAATGAAAATAATTTGTTAAATATGTTCATGTCTACAATATATATATTATTTTGCCAAATTATCATCATCTTCTCCCCTTTTATCTTCTTCTTCACTTTCCTCATATTCTTCCCCTTAACCTGAAACTTTATTACCATCTTCCGATTTTTTTTCCATCAGCAACTTTTCTCATCTTGCTCTGGTTTCATACACAAAAACGTACATCATGAGTTTTAGTAATCTCCATCAAGTTCCGAACTTGTCGATTACTAGGTAATGAGTAGGTTAACTCCACAACCTCTGTGTTCATGTCAAGGTTATAATCTTCTTGAGCTATTTCAACAAATTTGGCATATGTAGAACCTTCACTTAGAAAGGCAATTCTCGCTTCACTTACAAAGGAAAATCTCATCATCAACCACAAAATACCAAGAGTTGTCTTTCTTTGGATAAAAAAATGGATTCCGAATGATAATGCTTTGTTTTGCTATTCCTGCATTCAAAGGGTTCAGGCACCATTTTTTTGAATAGGTGGAACTTCGGTGATAGACTTTCTTTCCGCCGTTCCTAGGGACCCGCTAATGGATGCCTATTCGGTTCTCCTGCTCCAGCTCATTTTTTCACCAACCATTCTCCGTAGACTACAATTAACTAACGCATCATCTGAAATAAAATAAAATTAGAACACATTAGCAAACATAGAACATCAATGTCAAAACATTTAACCCAGAAGACTT